TACGTGTGCAAATACCATGTCCCAGAAAGGTTGCAGTCACAGATAGCAGGAGTGAAGACTTAGCCACTGTTGTTCAGTCCACAATGCTCAGCATCTTCTACATGAGGGCCAGACTGGCCAGGTTCATTCCCTCCAAAGTGCCAGGTACTGCACCTGCAGGGCCCAGCACCTCCACCAAGGGCACGCTCAGGGCCGGACAGGTCCTCAGCACCACCAGCGCTCGTGGACCAAGCCCAGAGCAGCCTTCTCTGTCAGCCCAGAGAAGGCCTAGTGGCAGGAACTGAATTCTGGCCACTGTTAAAAACCACATGACACTTGGGCCCCTGTGGTGCTGCAAGGGGGATACCAGGAGCACTACCAGGTGTACCATGGGGGTCTGGACTCCAGGACCACTGCAAGGGCAGCCCTGAGTCCCCAAGTGCCTACTGTCTAGCTCCAGGTTGCTAGTTGCTCTGAGCACGTTCAGTCAGCTCTTTCCTGGGGCAGGAAGTGGGGCTGTTGGGTGGGGCATGGACGCCTTCAGGGGGCTCTGCCTGTGGATTCCAGGGGACTTCCTGTGTGTAGCTGTCTCCAGGGGATGGCGTGTCTCCTGTGTAGACACCACCTTTGTTCTCCATGGCAGCTGATGGCCTGTGTCACATCTTGCTGTGACCTAGGAAAAGGCACTCACCCCTCTTTCAAGATGCTTTCTGTCCATCTGTGTCCCCATGACCATGATAAAGTATGGTGGCCCTGCTGTGGGTCGTGTTCTCTGCAGTTACACCGTGCACAACCTGTGCAGTTGTACCAAGCAGTACTGGGTGCCCACCCCCTTCCCTTCCACAGCTCCCACTGCAAGCGGAAGATGACACAGGCGGGTGTGTTTGTTAAAAAGTCCTCCCGCCCTACTCAGAAACATTTGAAGAAGGCACTGCTGGCTGATGCTTTTGTTCAGCCAACAGCTACAGGTAGATGTAGCACATCGGTGATTCACAGAAGAGTGGGCACAATGTCTGCTTCCCAGGTGCTCACTGAAACTACTTCAGGCTCGGGGTCATTCGTGGGTGGGGAAAAAGGACCCCAGAAGAGGCATGGGCAAAGCTCTGGGGGGCAGCATGTGGGATGGGAGGTGCCTCAGACTCAGTGATACCAGGTCTGGGCACATTTGGTTGCTAGCTATATGGCAGACTCTGGCTCATGGACTTCTGCAAAGATCCAGGGCATATGCCAAGGGTCTGGGCCACCTGCTCTTTCCTCTCTGGCTTCCTGGGACCAAGCTGGCCAGCTGCATGCAGTAAGTGCTCCATTGTATGGTGCAGACCCTGCCATCTGGCTCCCACTGGGACTGAGGATCATCCCGCCTTCCTCTCTTGGAGCTCTGTGGCCATCCTTGAATCAGTGCCACCCACTTCCGTATCTTAGGTCTATGCCTAGTCCCCTTTGCTTGTGTGGGGGCTGTGGGCATGTGGGGTGATCCCCAAGGTGAAGTCGGTGCACCACATGAGCTCAAGTCCCATGGGACCAGGGACATTTGCTTCTGGGTGACAGCACAGGTAGATGCCAGGGCCTGCTAAGGTGGGTGCTTCTGGGTGTCGACTCATTGGCTCCTCCTAGACCTTCGCCCCCCTTGTAGGGGAAACTGAGGCTCTGACCAGCCCAGCTGGTGATGTCTGAGTGAGTATCCAAGCAAACCTGAGGTCCATGTGTGAACACAGTGAATGGAGGTCATGACAGTTGAGGAGGGCTCGTAAGGACCTAAAATGGCACAGGAACTGGGGGTGGGAGCAGTTCTTCCTGGTGTCAGAGCCTGAGGAGCTGGCACTTCACTGACACAGAGGACTGAACTATCTCAGTACAGGGCAGGACAGCAGTCACAGGTCAGGCTAGAATGTCCCCAGGACAGTCGGAAGTGGCCAAGAAAACTTTGGCCTAGGCAACAGAGAGATGGATGGTGTCCCCACAGGAGGGCACATCATGAGAAGGGGTTGGCCATGCTGGTGGTTCTGCACATAATGGCCGGTGTGATTCACACATACTGCAGAGATGACTCTGAGTCGGGAGGTCACTTCATTGCTCCTCCTCAGCGCCCCATAAGGCCTGGATGATTGTGATTCTCATTTGGCAGAGCAAGAATCTGGGGTTTGAAGGTCACACTGACCTTCAGCTGTGCTCTGAACCAAGCTCCATGGTGACCAGGCTGTCACCCTCACCACCATGCTGGACAGTCCCACTGGCCCGGAGAAGTCCTTGTGGTGGGGACAACTGCCAGGGAGTAGCATAGGCTGTATGGGAGCACAGGGTCTGAGCACCTTTAGGTCCTACAGGTGACGTGTGCTGGGAATGTCACCTGGTTCTGGTAGAGTGCAGGGCAGTGGGCTTGGGGTTTCAGGTGGGCTGTCGTCCTCCCAGGGTCTTGGGCTGCTGATCTCTGCAGCTCACATCAGGAGGATGTGCAGGAGGCCAGCAGACTTCCCTTGGCCTTGGCAGCAGGGTCTCTGGAGGACCCAGGTGGAGAAGGAGCCAGGCTTGACAGCTGGCATGGGGCGGAGAGGACCAACACCCTTGGAGAGGTGGAGGGGAAGGAGGGATGTGGCCAGAGGAGATTTCACGTAAGGGACCTGAGTTTGTGCTCTGCTTAAGTTGTCGGTGTTGGGACAAGGAGGTGGAGAATCCTTCCCCAGGACCCTTAAATCCATGACAGTAGAGCCCCCTCTTCCTGCTAAGCCCTGTGGCTGCCAGGTCCTGGCTGGCCGCCAGCTTGTTCCACCAACAGCAGTTAAAGGGCCTCAGAGCTTTCCACTAACTCACCACCGTGGGAGTGGTGGCCTCAACCACAGTGATTCCAAAAAGCCAGGGCCTATCCTTGCTGTGTCTGGGTCTGAGAAACAGAATCAGAGACCCTGTCGCTGCTGATCCCAGACCAGCCATGGTCCCTGCCTGTGGGCTCCCAGGGCCCTGGATCTTTGACTATCTCCAGCCCTTGTTCAGCGGCGGTGAGCAGAGCAGGGGGGGCTTTGAGGGCCGAGTCAGGAGGGCTTGAGGCTGGTGGCCATGTTTCCCAGAGGAGGCCTCCCTGCATTTGGTGGCATTTCCTCTTACAGAATGAGAACTGGGGGCCAAAACTCCCTGCCTTATGTCAGACCCATAGTGGGTCATGCTGGATTAGAAGGTCTGCCCTGCTGAGCTACGCAGCACTGTCCCACTGGCTGTTCCTGTGAGGCAGGGTCACTCATGCGTCCTCTGTATGACCCTCTGGTGCAGCTGGGGCAGGGATGCACTCTGCTGTGTCCCCAGCTGCTCCAAACCTCTCTCCTCATCTGTAAAGCGAGCACTCTGAGGGGCTGCTTGAACCCTGTCCCAGGGAACTCCAGCCAATCACAGACACTTACCCTGTTCCTCCACTCCCAGGGCTGCTCTGTCCACAACTGTTGTACTGTGACCAGCCGCTGGATGCTGGGCCATGTGCTTCCCATAGGCAGCAAATCTGGGGGCAGGTAGCACTGGCCCAAGCTCGAGCAGGAGCCAGCAACTCCTTACTCCCTTCCTTTGCCACTTGTGTCCCCAGGCCTCCCTGATTCAGGGGCATCTGCAGGCCATGGGGCCATCTCTGCACACAGGGTGCCCCCATGCCAGCCCCTGGGGCCCTAGGGAAACCCCCTCCCTTCCTTCACACGGACCCCTCCTCCCGTGACTCCTGACCTAACTTCAGGCGGCACTGATGCTAGTGTAACACAGGCTGCCTGTCTCGTGCCCCTCAGCAAGCCACCCAGAAGCAGGAAAGGGCAGCAGGTTAGCCAGGTCCTGGGGCCCGCCAGGCAGCTCACCTGTGTCTTATACACCCACCCGCACATGGGTCTGGGGGCAAACAACCAACCACAAGGTGGAGTGAGATTAGTATAAATGAGGAGGCTTTGCAGGTAAAGCAAAGTTGGGCCTTTTTTGGTTTCTTTCTTTTAAAAAAAGAGAATTGCTGTGCCAAAAGGCTTCAAGTCCTTATCACAGGGGAAACATCAGGGGCCCTCTGCTCCCCTTCCCCAGCAACCCATCCTCCTCAAAAGGAGGCCACTGCTCTGCGGGGGGGTGGGGGGCTTTGGTGGGATTGAAATGACCAGCCTCCTCCAGCCCCGGAGACCCTACTCGCTGGTAGGAAGTCCCTGGCTGCGGCCACCGGAGGCACCGCGCTGGCCGCTCCC